GCCAAACTGTGGCCTATGTGTTTGGTGTGACCCTTTGTATGCATTTAACTGTCCCTTGGGGTGCAATTCTACCTACTGACACCAATGATGGGGTATAGTTCCTTCCACTGTCACCAGTGATGGGGCACTATTCTTTCTACTGACACCAACAATGGTTACAATTCCTTCCACTGACACCAACAATGGGGTACAATTCCTTTCACTGACACTAACAATGGGGTACAATTCCTTCCAATGACACCAACACTGGGGTACAATCCCTTCCACTGACACCAACAATGGGGCACAATTTATTTTACTGACAACAACAATGGGGCATTATTTCTCCCCCCACCAGCCACAGGTGAGGGGTCATGACTTACTCCCACTAACCACCAACTCTGTGGCATTTTTTACTCCCAATGACCACCTAACCTGGGTCATTGTTTATTCCCACTGGTGCTGGGGCATTTTCTTCTCCCACTGACCACAGTCTGCATCCTGTAAAGCCTTAATGACAGTGACCTGACTCTTTGTTTAAAAAGTTTGGGGTCCCCTATAATAAAGTATGTACTCTTTGGTGCCAATAAAACTCCAAACAGTATTCTATATGTTCTGTTCTGCTCACTACAGAACGCCTACCCCTCTCTTCATCTCTATAACATGTTCTGTAGTCTAGCAGTGGAGAATTGTGCAGAGCTGAGAACACTGCTTGGGATTTCAGTACAGCAGAGGCTTAGTTGGGAGGTTGGAAGCTCGATGGATATCTGGCATTTGCTAAATTGTAGGAATAACACATGGGGAGATGTGCACATATTGCAGAGATTTAAGAATTTTTTAACAGATAAAAAGAAAAAGCAAATGCCATTCAAAACGTATCTGACTTTCTAAAAAACAAAGTGTTCAGTGTTCATTCAAGACAGAGTTAGTAAAAATCCCTATACAAGTCATCAGATACTATGACTTAGACCTCTAGTATTATACTAAGCTGCAAAGTCAAACATTTATAAGAGAGATCTTCAAGTGTCTTTTTTAAGCTAATATAAAGCTTTGAGTACTGATGCTAAACATACTGACAGTACATGCAGAATGTTCAGTGGTGGCCATCGAGGGTACAGTGAAAGGTTTAAAATCTACTTAATAGTAAAACCAGCCTAGTGTATATCAATTTAATGATATTACATTCTCCTTGTGTATTGTCGAGAAGCTGGCAACATAACCTTTGCTGCATTAACACGAATCATCTCAATTTGAAATTTTATTAGAAATGTTTTAACTCTCTCATTAAAAGGCTCCGGGCTGAATCATAATTCTTTATGTCTAAGGCTGATAGTACCATAGCTGAATGGCATTACTGATGCTACAGCTGAGTGTCTTAAGAACATGTAAAAGAACTGCATATTTTACCTGCTCTTTAATAGTTTCAATATGCTCTTTGCTTATCTACCCTGTGTTAAAGGATAGGAGAAAACCATTATGTGTGAGTTGAAAATAATCTATAGCTAGCCTGTACTCAGATGTAAAAGGGAAGCTATAAAAGTTTTAAATTAAGTTTTTATGTATTATTCTAAGTTGGCAAGATGTGTTTTTAACTGATGTTCAAAATATACAATTATATAGATAGATAGATAGATAGATAGATAGACAGACACACACGTTGCCAAAAGTATTGGGACACCCCTCCAAATCATTGGATTCAGGTGCTCCTTGAAATTTCCTTGCTACTAAATATTCCACGATCAACTGTTAGTAGTAATATGACAAACTGGAAGCAACTGGGAACAACAGCAACTCAGCCATGAAGTGGTAGGCCGCATAAAATGACAGAGCGGCATCAGCACATGCTGAAGTCCACATTGCGCAGAAGTCACCAACTGTTTGCAGAGTCAATAGCTACAGACCTCCAAACTTCATGTGGCCTTCAGATTGGCACAACAACAATGCATAGAGATCTTCATGGAATGGGTTTCCATGGCCACGCAGCTGCATCCAAGTTCAATGCAAAATGTTGGATGCAGTGGTGTAAAGCATGCCGCCACTGGACTCTAAAAAAAGTGGAGACATGTTCTCTGGAGTGAGAATCACGCTTCCCTGTCTGGTAATCCAATGGACATGTTTGGGTTTGGCGTTTGCCAGGAGAACAGTACTTGCCTGACTGCATTGTGTCAAGTGTAAAGTTTGGTGGAAGGGGGATTATGGTGTGAGGTTGTTTTTCAGGGGTTGGGCTTGGCCGTTGTGCTTGGCCCCTTCCAGTGAAGGGAACTCTTAAGACATCAGCATACAAAGACATTTTGGACAATTTCATGCTCATAACTTTGTGGCAACAGTTTGGGGATGGCCCTTTCCTGTTCCAACATGACTGCACACCAGTGTACAAAGCAAGGTCCATAAAGACATGGATGAGCGAGTTTGCGGTGGAGGAAATTGACTGGCCTGCACAGAGTCCTGACCTCAACCCGATAGAACACCTTTGGGATGAATTAGAGCGGAGACTGCAAGCCAGGCCTTCTCGTCCAACATCAGTACCTGACCCCACAAATGCGCTTCAGGAATAATGGTCAAACATTCCCATAGACACACTCCTAAACCTTGTGGACAGCCTTCCCAGAAGAGTTGAAGCTGTTATAGCTGCAAAGCGTGGACCAACTCAATATTGAACCCCACGTACTAAGACCGGGATGCCGTTCAAGTTCATGTGCGTGTAAAGGCAGGCATCCCAATACTTTTGGCAATATAGTGTGTGTGTGTATCTATCAGTGCGGGGACAGACCGTGTATATATCAGTGCGGGGACAGACAGTGTATGTATATATATATGGTCCACTATAAGAGGTGCTCACAGGTCTCGTATTGAAGCAAAATAGATTTCTTAAAAGCAGTGTCTTGTGAAAATGTCAACCAATATTTAATCTATAATCTATTTACATTGTTTTCAGTCCATTTGTATCTTGCCTTGAGTGTACACAGGTTTTTACTCTTATCTGAGTGTGGTGCCCTCCATTGGACTTATATATTTGTTTCAAAATTAAACATATAGTGGTGAAGAGTTTGGAGAAGGCAGGAGAAGTGAACAATCTAAGACAACATAGCTGAAATAGCTGAACTAGAAATTGAGCTGAAATGGGTAATTTTTCCAAATTTTCTCTATTTTGGCCTAGATTGTTCACTTCCCCTGCCTTCTCCAAACGTGTCACCCTTTTGTGAATAGCTCCTATCATGTATGACTAAGGATTCCTGAATCACTATGAAAAGGCTAAGGAGAGTACAGAGCAATAGTAATGTCTTAGTAGGTAATGCTGCTTCTTGGACCTGGGACAGAAGCATTAGGGGGGGGGCATAGACAGGAGTTTCTTCTCTGCTTTATTCATTTGTGTGTGTAAATTTTAGTATATGGTAGGCTGGAAACTTTTTTCGTTTTTAAATAGGTAGGAAAAGGTTTAGTACCTCTTTTGGGTTTTTATTGCTATCCTTGGCTCTGTGGGAGATTTCCACTCACTTTCTATCAAGCTGACAATGGTTTTATTTGACAAGAAGTGAGGGAAAGTCTCCAACCGAAAAAAAACATTTTGGTGGACATACAGTTTAATCAGTTGACATCCGCGGTGTTAAACCCCCTTCCCATCCAGGCCATTTTTCAGTATTCAGTGCTGCTGTACTTTGACTGACATTTATTCCGTCATGCAGCGCTGTACTGAAATGAATTTTATACCCTTTTTTAGGGACAGATAGAGATTTCTTTTGGTGGTATTTATTCACCACTGGGGTTTTTATTTTTTTACTATATTAAGGAAAAATTACCGAATTTTTTTAAAAAAAAAAACAGTTTCCCCTATATTAAATGATAAAACATTTATTATTACCCAATTTTTTGGTAAAATATAAAAGACGGGGTCATGTTGGGTAAAAAATATATTTTTTTATTTATATTTATTTTTGTGCACTTATTGTTATTGCTATTATATAGGGGGATAACAATCCCCCTATATAATAGCAAGGGCACACTGACAGGTCCTCTTTATGGAGACATTAGGGGTCTCTAGGAGCAGAGATGAAGCAGAGATCTGCGAACGAGCACATATAGACGATCGGCGGGCTATGGAGCCGCTAATCGCCTATATGTGAAACACCCGGTAACGGGTGTGTGCAATGGTCGGGTCTTTTCTGCCTGTGCGTGCCCACTAGGGGGCGCACGTGAGCAGAAAAAAATTGCCGTCTGGAGACGGCAACCCGCCAATGCGGCAGTACCGTCCGTCCGTTTTTTTACTACGGGTGGACGGCAAGTGGTTAAGCTACTGAATTCTACAAATATCAAGCTTTTTGAATAAGTTGAGGTTTTATACACAGCTTCGCAACGGCTATAGACTGCTAGAGAGGTGTCACATGAGAGGGGGGTTACTACAGACTATACACAGGTATTGTTATATGGGATAGTAAGAGGAATGCCATAATTAACTTTAAGGCTTGACTATCCACTGCAAAGCCATCAGTCTAACATTACCAGATATGGGTCATTTGTGGGTCAACAGACAACAAAAAACACTCAAAAGTGACAGAACATCTAAAAAAAACGATTGTACTGTGTATTCTATATTTATCATATTTTCGGACATCTGTTTTTAGTCTTAAATATTAAAATATTATTTGTATTATTATAAATTGTAGCGAAATTATAAGCTTCTGTTAGTTTTAACAGGGCAACAACACAACATGGTGTGCTGTAGTTTTGTGTATATCAAATGCAAGTGATTTCCAGATCAAATCTGTGTTTTCACAATAATGGTACTCAAGTTAATGCTCTCCCTTGTGTTTGCTGCATTTATGCACCCAAGGTTAGCTCAATTATGCTCTAGTCATTGGAATGAGCAAAGACGTTTCTGTAGGCTTTTTTTCCAAGTACATATAGAATTCTGTTTATTGAAGCACTCAACTTTTACTTACAAACTATGTGTATATACTTATGTTTTGTTGATAAAAATGTACATGGCTGTATTGAATGACTGCATTGTTTCTCTACTGTTCTAGATAATTCACTCAGTATCCTGGCAAGACATAATGGATTTAACCGTTTGAAGCAGGAAGTGTACCTTCTACCGATCATAATAAGTGACAGCGGTAATCCTCCGATGAGCAGTACCAGCACCTTGACAATACGGGTCTGCGGTTGCAGCAGCGATGGTGTGGTCCAGTCGTGCAATGCTGAAGCTTATGTTCTGCCGATTGGTCTCAGCATGGGAGCACTAATAGCAATCTTGGCATGCATTGTTCTGCTTTTAGGTATGTATAGATCTTGTAGCACACTGCAAGTATTAGTATACACAATATATTCCTTGTATTGGTATTGAAGAAAGTAAAGCGCAATAATAAAAGCTGAGCAGTGATTTAGTGAAAAACTAAAATGGCCTTGGGTAGAAAATATCAGATTAGATGTTAATAACATCATATTAATGTAGCATTTGAAAGCCATTGTTCCAGCACCATCTGCATACTATGAATGTTTTACTAAAAATTTACTTTTCTATGACTGTTTAATGGAAAAGTGTAGCTGTTGATCATCACAAGGCAGGGATGTAGCAACATGGCTTACTGCTTCTATCAGGATCCTGCTCTCCAGTGGCTCAGGTTGGACCCCCTAGGTCTTTTACCTGTAGTAACAATGGTGAAAAAGCACCATACTCTGGGTTAGAGGTGCCTTAACAAGAAGTTACCCCACAGTGTCTTGTGACCTAGCATGGTTTGTTTAGTTGTGTCTGTTACTAAGAGTCAGTAATGGTGAGGTAACAAGTAAGGTGGGTTCCAGCAAGTGTGAAGGTAAAAAGTGAAATGGGAGCTATTTCATCAACAGATACACCATTGCCTTGAGGGCCCTAAACATTAACAAGACAAATCAGTAATATTACTGTAATAACTAGCAACAAGGCCCATTACTGCCTACTGCTTAACAAATACTCACCATCAGATAAAATGGCCTCCATCTGGATCTGACTGGCCTGTTAAAATGTTAGGACATGTCTAACTGAGCAGTGATCAAGGGTTGTTCTGTGTAAAGCTTTGATTGGCTGTCCACATTCATCAATATACAGCAGAGCACAGCCTGAAACAAACTTTTTCACAAGTGCTCCCATTTTGAAACTTGAGTGTGCCAAACCTAGAAAGACCATTGCTGGGCCAGTCAGGTTCTCAAAAGGTTCATTTGTTTTAATCTCAACTTGGCAATCAGTAATCCAAACTGGTTTCAAGGTTTTATGCAATTTTCACCATTTTACAGAAACCCATTTGTCATGTTTCTTTTATAGGTTTTATCTTATACTTGCATATTTACAATGTACATACACATTCTTCCTGTCACAGCTAGTGAGCAATAATTGGATTGATAAAAATGATCCAAAATAACAAAAGCGTATAATTTCCTAAAATCACATTGACTTTACTTCCTATTTTAGATTTGGTTTCTTCAGCATTATGATTCATTTATACAATCTGAATGATAGACAAACATTGCCAATTCCCATCTATGTTATGGAAAAGAGTGGAAGCTGTTGTGTGGTCTTGTCCAAGGGCGACAAAACTCCTCCATAGATAAATGGTTGACAATGCTAAAAAGTGGGTTGGCCTACCATAAGTTGACTCATAGAGAATGAAGACCAGTGTAGGCAGGCCAACCCACTTGTGTGCATCATCAAAACGTATGCAGGGGATTTTCCTATGTAAAGGTGCCCATACACCTTACAATTATCTGCAGATTTTCTGTGGTCAGATGGAAAAAGTGCAACAGATTGGCCCAGGTGGAGATTACTCCATCCACACAGTTAAGTGTAGATAGAGGAATCTGTTGCACCTTTTCCCTCTGACCACAGAAAATCTGCAGATAATTGTAAGGTGTATGGGCACCTTTAAAGGATGCAAACTCTGAATTAAACCACGCAGAGCTCTAATGCTATCACTCTACTCAATGAATACCAATAACTAGCTTCACAAGCAGTCCAACTTTGCCTCCAGTATGGGCTGTGCCTTAGTCTTAAAACAAATTGTGCTAAGAGAAGCAAAAGCTGTCATTCCACCATAAAGTTCCACTTGCTTGGTGGTCACTGTGATCCATTGGATTCCACACTTCCAGAGTTACTGCCCCAAAAGGAGTATGCAGAGTTGAAGCTCTGATTTTCAGCATATGAGTTCCAGTTTAGTGACTGAAAGTATTTAAAACAGAGACAAAACAGGTTACCGCTAAAGTAAAGTTGTCAATTAAATGGGATGTACATGTACTCCAAAGAGGCATGCCCTAGGAGGAAAAAGTAGACTAATATTACCAACCACGGTATAATATTACCATCCAGTGAGTGCTGTGATACATAATCACTGGCTACCAAACCCCTATTGGGTGCTAATATAATCAAAAGGCTTTGTACATACAGAACTGTAATGTTAGGTTTGTTAAAGTGCAAACTCTGATTTGCTGCATTTCATCTTGACTTGAAATACACTGACTTGAACTTTGCCCATTTTATTTGCTAACTATGTGGGCATTATATGATTCTGCTCAGACAATGGAGTTCATTTGAAGAGACCTTCTCATCATCTTACAAAATTGCAGGAAAAAGCACACAAATTTAAGTATTTCACATGCTTATTTGTAGTGCCGTTCAATGCTTTTCCCTTCTATAAATCATTTGTATTCACTTGCAATGTGTCTTTTGATTAGTTAGAATATTTGTACATTCAATTCCCAAGCACACCCCCTTCCTTCCTTGCATATCATAGCCATCTCCTCTTACGCAAGTGTCTTATTACTCCCTGTGCTGGCCCAGCTGTTCCACCCCTCCTTCCACCTACATAGTCTTTTATGTAGCTGCCAGGGGAGAAGCAAATACACAGAAGTTAAAGAGAAGTTAAATGCAGATACAATCTTGTGCAAAGATGTATGTTGTATTGAATGGCCTGTTAACAGGATCTCTTAGTAAAGGAACAGAGTGTGTTCACTTTGTATCATGTATATTTAATTTGCAATGTGAATATTTAATTCAATTTAAATTTTTACTTAAATTAGAGAGTATTGGGAAGCCATGTTCACTTCAATCATCCAATCATGTGCAAGTAAGATCCATTTGTTTTTAATTCATTGCAGGGCTTTGGGTGTTCAAAGTGAACACAGCTTTACACTATTTACTAAGTTAAGTGAACATAAACCTTAAAAATTGAACATTTAGCTTACTAAATGAACAGCTTATATCTCTTTAATCAACATTATTGTGCCCAGATATCAAAGCAGAGTCATAGATTATTTTTAAATATACTCTGGTTTCGAATAATTGATTTTGAGTGAGACAATACTGAGAGTTTGTTCAAATGGGCCCACATTTATGCCTGGGACTGTTTGCTACAGTTAAGCAGAACTGAACTATGGCTCTTTGTAATGTCAACAGAGAATTGCACATCAACCCTGAAGGCTGCAATCACATTCAAGCTGCTCCCAGTGGTATAAAGTAGTCAGCAGTCACAGAGAGACCGCAGCAAACACTGAACTGTCATACAAATCAATCAGCCTCATTTATCTCTCTATGCTGCTGTGTAGTGCATTATAGAAGATGCAGCCTGCTTTAATTTTACTAATTCGATGTGTGATTTGGTCTCCTGTGGAAAATAATGGTAACATAGTAAAATACACATGTAATATGTTATGTTGCATAGCATACCATATGACCAGCAGACAAAGCTTATGAATTTACAACATTGGACAATGCACATTCAAAGAAATGCAGAAAAACTCAAAAACAAAATATAAAACAACATACAATAATCTATATTAAGGGATACATTTACTTTGATAATGTTATTCTTTAAAACCACCCTCCCCCTAGATCTAATATTTACCTGTCCATGCTCCTGGCAGATCCACACTGTAAGGGCAACTGGGAATAGCATTTATTCCTATGGATAGGCCAGTTATCATGACTTATATTGTAGACAAGCTTTCAATAGAAACAGATTAAACGTTTTGCTCTAAAGACTTTGAAATCAGCCAGGAGAGTTTCCAGAGGAATCTGCCAGGATCCTGGACAGGTAAGTGTCATTGATCTTCAAGGAGAATCACTTAGAAGATATTTACAGTTAACCTTTAAAAGTACCATAAACTGTATGCAGCTGTAACACACAGGGGCTGAGAATGAGAACTTTACAATAATGTATAGCTGGATGAATGCCATTCACACAGCATTACTGCTGCTAGATAGAGCAAGGAGCATAGGAATTTCCTGTGCTCCTCGGCTCCATCTAGTGGCATTAATGCCATGTGAATGCTGGGCAGACATTTTATACATCAGCCCCTCTTTGTAAATCTGGCTGAATATAAAGTACAGGTCTCATGTTCTAAAGACTGCATTCAGTACCCATTACATTAATGTGCACAGGCAGAAGAACTCCCTCCCTCTAGTGTATACAGATGGACTTCAGACAAACAGCCAAGTACACAGATGACATATTTATATGAGAGGTGTTTAACCTGCTTAAGCTTTTCTATTTCCATCCCTTAGATTTATATACTTTTACTGCACAGCACAGCCAGGCTGGAGATCTAGCTTTTGCCTACTGCAGTTAAGTACTACAACTAGATATTGTTCCTGCCTCCAGCCTGGGATTGGACAGTGAAGGAGAAGCAGCAGACCGATGAGCATATTCCTGTATCCTTCTTGTTTTTTTGTTAGCACATAAGCGCCTCAGAGCAACTGGCTGGCTTCTTGTGCTGCTTCTCCGTCCTCCAATCTGCACTCTGCTGTAAAGAAGATTGCAAAAGGCTGATACCAAATAAAATTAGGGTACTTACAATAGTTGCCTTTAAAAATACACACAGGGGTCTATTCACTCAGCTGCCACAGGCAGCTGAGTGAATGACCGACCTGAAGTGAAGTGAGCCGAACGCTGTTCAGCTATTCACTTCATGTTTGTACGGCTGATTTCAGCCGTATATCGGCTGAAATCAGCCGTACATCGGGTGGCTTCGGGTCGGCCAAACATGCTCAGCATGCAATAGCTAGTTTGCTATTGGCTATTGCAAATTGAAATAGCCAATAGGAATCTAGCAATGCATTCCTATGCCCAGCTGTCAGAAGCAGGCTGTCGGCCGGTCACTGGCCGGCCGCTCAGCCAGCTTCGGCTTTCACCTCGGCTCAGTCGAGCCGAAGCATATGCCTTCGGCTTGACTGAGCCGCCCGGCCGACTTCGGGAGCTGTACGGGCTATACTGAATAGCCCGTACAGCAGCCCATCGGTTCTACTGAAGGATCGGCCAAAGCTATGGCTAGATCCTTCGGCTGCTTCGTGAATAGACCCCACAGTGATTTTGTGATGAACACATACCTGCATGCATTGGAATTTTGTAAGAGCTGCCTGGAGTTTGGCTCTAAATAATGCTGAGAGAAGTGTTAAATCAGTTCCACTAGTTCAGTAATGAATTAGGCTATATGAAGAAGGGCAAAGGCAATCCCTAAGCTTAAATATACAAGTTGGAACACTAATGGGTTTATTTATAAAACCTCCACCCAGCATAGAACTGGATGGATACCGTTTGCACAGCACTTGTGCCCCTACATGGCTTTGGGGAGTATAGAAAATCACTATACTCCTCTGCACCATATAGGGGTGCTAGTGCTGTGAGAATGACATCTGCTCAGCTATACATTGGGCGGAATATGTATAAAAAACCTGCAAGGGTATTCATTTATTTTTCTCCATATTAAAATTATGTTCCTGCTGTGCCACAACATACATTAAATCAAGTAAACCCCTATATTTTATAAATGTAACAGCTACACCTTTCCTTACATGTTATTTAAATGATGTATTTAAAAATGGTAAAATGAATGCATCTATACACAGCAGAGTGGAGATGTTAAGAGCTTTGAATGACACTTCCTTGCATTTGGCATTTTTGTAGAAATTTATTGTAGGCGGACCCCATATTGGGTAAAAAGTAAGAACTGAAAAGTTTTAAACCTACCGCCTACAGTTTAATGGAATCCAATGAATTAAAATAATGAAACCAAAAAAGGGAACCCACTTGCTTGACATATTCCCTGCTAATATATTATCAGAGAATGGACTTATGAATACTACCTCTACTTCTGCTTTGTGTTATAGAGGAAACAAACCTATCTTTTAGAAGCAAGCTCAAAACATTCATGGTTAGCATAAAAAATTATTTTAAAATGCAACAATAAATCTCAGTGTACTATCCTTTAAAGTGACCCTGTTGCCGATCTCAAAATTCGAATAAAGCAGCTCCTTGGAAAAGAAAAATGTAATTACGCATCCCCTGACGTTTTCTGGAAAAACGACACTTCCAAGAGTTTCAGTATTCTGTTTCCCCCGCAGTCCTCGCTGCTTCCTCCTGTCGACCTCCGTGTCTCTACAGGACAGAGTAGTGGCATGGAAATAAGCAGAAGAAATAAGTGAACATTGCAGGAACACAAGAGATCAACCTGTCGCTTTTTAAGCAGACTTCAAAGGCTGATTTCTTTTGGACAGAGCAGTGTTCGGCCACGTGAGCAGCAGAAATTAAAGTATTTACAATTTTAAAGGGAGCTGCTTCATTCAAATGTTGGACTGGTGACATAACACTTTACATTGACACTAAACCCAGTAGTTAAACTTTAAAAATGCATTCAAGTATCCCAACTATTGACCAAAAATGTATCTTATTTGTGCATCACTCAGCTGTAGATCCTCATATCATCTCTAAATTGGTGCTGACACTGTCCTTCCTTCTGGCGAGTGGCTACTTTTGTTTCCCATGGTCCTCGTGTATGTTGTAAAGTAGTCACCACTCCAAGCTTGCTACCCTGATAGACTACAATCTTAACACAAATTAGCAAACTAAACAAGATATTGTAATCCATCATGGGAGTGAGCTTGGGACCATGGGATTAAAAGTAGTCACCCTTCAGTGTCAGCATGAATTCAGAGATGATTTGAAAATCTACCGCCGAGTGATGCACATATAAGATAAATGTTTTGTTAATATTTAAGGTACTTGAATGCATTTTCAAGATTAACACCTGAGTTTAGTGTCACTTTAATGTATAAAAATATGAACTACATAACAATATATTATAGAGTAGTGTTCATGTCACAGACTGTCTTTCATAATATTAACCAAATAGGGCAGAATGTACTGATAGATAGATTGACATAACTTCTAATGGCAGATTTTTTTGGAGTCCAGAATAGATTCACCTGTAAATATGGATTCTTGTTTTCTTTTTTTTTAGAACATGGATAGAGTTAGATTAAGTGCTAGGCTGAAAATGTATCCTGATTTGAAACTGTGAATACAGAGAGACAGAAAGACAGCTAGATTTCTCCATAAATGTATTTTTCATGAAGCGAAGTAGCTGCTGTAAACTGTCGTGATGTCTAATGTCTCTGCTGTCAATCTTCCAAGAGGCAGAAGCTCTACAGAGACTTGTAGCCTCTCAAGAGAGATTTAGGAGAACTGTTAAGACCACGACAACTACTACAACTTGCTGGAAAGTCCTTGTCTTGGAATGAAGGTTGGCCAATAGAAAATAGATAATGCAGAGGTCTGCACAGATATAACTATTTAAAAATACAGAAGAAAATAAAGTGTATGTAATGCCATCATTTGTTTTTTATTGCTGAATAGAGAAGTGAGGGGTTTGAATACTTGTGAGGGTTTTTTGTTATTGCTGATGTAATTCACTTTTTATTTGTCCTATTGTCTCAGGACTGAATGTTTTGGAAGATCTGAAATTTAAATTTGTCACTAGAACAGGAGTAGAGGGGAAATCTTCCAACTGTTCCAGTGAAAACTGAAAATAGGGCACTTTCCTTACTTTGCAGATATTTTCTTTTGCTTCTTGTTGTTCCCCTACTCTGTCCAGAATAAAAAAAAACTTTAGATACACTTGAGGAATTGTTCTAGCCTTACCAATGTCTGTAGTGACACCAGTTTTCAGAATGGGTCTTTGTTGTTGGTTAAATTGCCTTTAAGCATACATATTGAAAGCAGAGGGATTATTAGAAGCATTTTTAGGAATCAGCAATCAGGTTTGATCATGTAAGCAGGACCCATATGGGTCTCTAGACTTTATTGTGATGACCAATATGCTATTGAGTTATTCCAGTCCTTGCTAATGTTTCCTCTTAACTGGTCTATTAAAGTAAATGTTTATTGCAGTTTTGGGTTTTGTACATATACAGGTTTATTCACAAAAGGGTGAAGAGTTTGGAGAAGGCAGGGGAAGTGAACACTCTAGGCCAAAATAGCTGATTTGGAAAAACTCTCCAATTCATCTCACTTTCCAGTACAGCTATGTTGTCCTAGATTGTTCACTTCTCCTGCCTTCTCCAAACTCTTCCCCCTTTTGTAAATAACCCTAAACTCTTTCTTTGTTTTTATTGCCAGGGCTATAAAAAGAACATTAAAAATAATCTTTACTTTTTCAAGTATAAATAGTTATACTTACAAAACATGTTTTTAAATATAAAATGATGCGTAACCATTGGGTGAAGCTCTAGCCTCTTTTTTACACCAATAACATGACTATTTTTCAGTTGTGCTAATGCAATCCAGTTGTTTACAGAACTTAATGAGTCATCACAACAGTGACTCATTGCTTATTAAATTGATCAGTGAAAGATGTATATCAGATAAAGGAAGTTGAAAAGCTACTCTGCTTTGCTGTCTCTGTATACTCTGTATATAATGCATAATAGGAATCCTTTGTCATGTAAAAAAAAAAACACTTTATAAAAAAAGTTTAAAAAAATACAAAACACAGTTTAAAAAAAAACCTGTAACAATTAAATAAAGCAACTAAAATAGAATCAACCAAAATATTATAGTTAATTTAAAACATGAATCAAGCTGTTAAATAAAGATAAATCTGGCAATGTTTTTAGTAAAAAAAAAAAAAGGTATGTTGTCCTATATGATAAGGAAGTACACAAATAATATACAGTGTTATCTTTTTAAAATGGCATTGACAGTCAAAACTGTTTTTTGTTATTTATTTTATGTTGTTGATAGTGCAGGAAGCAAACCCTTCACTTCCTGCCTCAAAGACACAACATAGATAAGGAATCTCCCCAAAGTGATAGAAAATCCCTACTTAGACATGTGTTCCCATTGGAAGAGTTTTTCCACATTGCTGTTTGACAATAACAGCAACATTATAAAATTCCTAACACTTTCTTTCACAGTTACAATGGTCACTTGGACAAAAAGAGAGAGTGAATTTCCCAATGGAAACACAGTAATAAAATGATCTATGCCATCCAAAAGATGTGTGGGCTATAGATACTCTTTACATTTGGAAAAGTAAAAATCAAAGCAAAATGTTTGTTTATGTTAGATACTGCACTCTTCACATTGTCCTGTGACTTACTAAATGATCAGTTAGTTTGAAAAACAACACCACTGTGACTGACTGTAGAAAATGTGTTATGAACTAATTATGGTATATAATTTGCAGCTGTTGAACTGCATATTATTATATTTTATTATCTTTATTCATTTGTTTTCCACACTTTTCTTTTCCAGTTATTGTTGTGCTTTTTGTCACCCTCCGAAGACATAAAAACGAGCCTCTCATAATTAAGGATGATGAAGATGTTCGTGAAAATATAATCCGCTATGATGATGAAGGTGGAGGAGAAGAAGACACAGAGGCCTTTGATATTGCCACTTTGCAAAATCCAGATGGTATTAATGGATATTTACCACGCAAGGACATCAAGCCTGATTTTCAGTTCATGCCCAGACAAGGTCATACCTCTACTCCCAATGGCGTTGACGTTGATGAATTTATTAACGTAAGGCTCCATGAAGCTGACAATGATCCTACTGCTCCACCATATGACTCAATCCAGATTTATGGTTATGAAGGACGAGGATCAGTGGCTGGTTCCCTGAGCTCCTTGGAATCCTCAACTTCGGACTCCGATCAAAATTTTGACTACCTCAGTGATTGGGGTCCTCGCTTTAAAAGACTGGGAGAACTTTACTCAGTTGGGGAAAGTGACAGAGAAACTTGACAATAAATCAACCCTTTTTTTGCATTCTGAACTTGCAAGTCTGTAATATTTTAGGGTCATTGTTAGTAAAGGACTAAAAGTGGCCAACTTGTTCTAGAGACAGATTAGCACCAGTCATCAATAATGAAATAAATCAACTACATCGTAATGTTGAACCAAAAATTGTGTACATTAGGGGGGTCAGTCTTGTGGAGTAAAGTTTGTGAAGTATCTAGAAGTCATTGGATGTTCAGTATTCACTTGCACCACCTTGGAGTTTGGAAATTTGGCATCTGAGATGTCTAGATAACAGAGCAAGTAAGGCAAAAGACAATGACACTTTGGACAAGTGGATGGTTGCTCTGTGGTAATGTCTTCTACCAATAATGTCTACAGCAAAGTTTTGAAAACAAGGAATCAACTACTTTTTACTAAAGCAATATTTGGTCTTCTGATGAATTTTGATAACTTATCAATACCCAGCTGGCTTCCACTGTGTAATGACTTGACATTGTACATACTTGGTGGCCATCAAAACCACTAATTCATCATAATTACATGTTTTTGAGCCTTAAAATATTCACATGTCCTATTACTAATTTAAATACACAAACATTGTGCGTTGATCAATAAACATCTCCCCTCGAAAGGTGACAGTCATTTCCTGAGATTTTCACGCCAAGAATCGCATTTCCTCCACAAAAGGTCAAAAATAAATTTGAATATTTTCAAAAAGATTCTATTGTTTCATGTTGTTCCAAATATAATTTATTTGCTATTTTCTCATATTGTTATTTTATTGCCTTTATATCATGTCTTAACTTATTTGCATAAAATATATGTTTAAAATATATATTATATAAATAACTTCTATCCATTAATGGGCCATTTATTTTTTTGTATGCACATGTTAAAGGTTTAAAAAAAATATCATATACTGTACATTTTAAAAACTGATGTGGATTTTTTTGAATTCCGCAAGAGGTTATTTAATAAAAGGGGGCAATGTATATTTGCGGTAGTTGAACTTCAGAGAAAAGGTCGATAGGAGCAAGAACTTTTTTTCTGAAAGATTTTGTGGGGTTTTTATATTTTGTCAAGAATTATTAAAAAAATAATCAATGGTGTTTTTTTTTTATTACAAGCACAAACATCTGGAAATAAGCAGGTTCATGTGAATATTTCAGACATTTAGAATTTTAGAGTTTTACACATTACACTGTACAGTGGCAGACACACGCTTGTAGTGATCCAGTGTTCTAGAGCGAAAATCAGTGTATGTATGATTTCAGTGCTTAAGTCAGCATTTCCTTTTTATGATATTCTCTAGTGTTGCACAGGGACACGTCCACACAAAAAATTGGCAGCGCCATCTGCTGCTTTCACATAAAATTTGCAATTATAAGTAGAGATTGTATAATAAATTGAAGTATCACATGCAGATCATTTTAATTTTCTACTTTGCTCTGAAGCTATATGATCATTTGTTTATTTACTTCATGTATTGATAAATTCCTGTATTGTTTACTACTTGTTGAAATATATTTTTATAAATATGTTGTTGGTCTCTTCCTTGGGGAATTAAAATGTACACGTATTTTATAAGGGCTGACATAATAAAAACTCATTTATCAAAATAGATAGATTCATTTTCTTGTAGTTTTAGGTTAAATGCTAAAGTGTTGGGCCCTCTTTTCATTTTTGTTTTGCTGTCCATGTCCCTGATGGGTGGAATTCCTCTCACTTTGCAATGACACTCAAAGTATTGCTGTTGACTGAACCTACTATTTCCCATCGTCTGTGTTTATTAGGAATAAGCAAATCTGCCTGGGTTAAGCTCATGAACAGGTGTGCATATCTTGCTTGAAGTTCGAAGCTTGTGATCTTTGCAGCCAACCGCATACGCCCCAGTATATTGGGGTGAATCCTTGCATTTGTGCCATTTGTAAGGCTAATAAGCAAGCTACTGTCAAACAAATGGCATGAGAGGCTGGACACTGCCATGGGGACATTTACCAACATTTCTCAATAAGTGCTTCCACATGCAATTTGGCTGCTGTTAGCCCACCCTTTAGTAGTGAAGTTGGGTTATAAATTCCTGCATATTATTGTTTTTTGTGACACCACTGTCCAGGGGCAAATGCTATTCACTACATTAAAGGTTATTCCTTATTCCTGGTGAACCTGCAAAGCTTTCCAATAAAGGTTAGTGATCCGTGAACTTTGCAAATTCAGGGAATTTCCCATAAACTTATGGTATCAGTAATTCTGAACCTCATCTCTAGTATAAATTCTCTATGAATTAATGAGGAGAACTCTCTAGGAAGCACATGATACTGCCACCAGCTATTAGTAGATTAGTCAGAGGAACATATGGATAAAGCACTCTAAAAAGTGGATACAGGAGGGTCAGCTCAAAACAAACAATGACCTTGGTGTCCCCAAGTCAGGAAGCAAGGGAAATTTTCATAACATGGGCAATGCCGGCAAGAAAAACCCAAAGGAGAATCCAAGCCTAGCCATTCTAAAAAAAGTTCCACCAAAAATAATGCACAGATCTTGGGCTTTTTAAAATGGCACAGTCATTGACTATTAAGAAGCAGTTGAAAATAAGCATGTGTGACACTTTTTCTTCAAATTATTATTATTATTATTATACAGGATTTATATCACGCCAACAGCTTGCACAGCGCTTTACAATATAAGCAAGACATTACAATCACAATACAATTCAAGACAAGATGGTAAGCAGAGCCCTGCCCGTGAGGGCTTACAATCTAAAATGACCACATAATATGCATCTGTCATATGCTTTCCACAATGCCCTATGCCTGAATGCTGCATACAAAGATTCAAGAAGGTTGCACTTATACCCACATAAAGGATCACACTATAACATTAATCTGGACACTGACAGACTAAACAGAAACATGTCACCTTATCTGATTACTGAACTTCATGGCCATGTGATCTGGTTTAGTGACAAAATCCCTCTGAAGTACCCATGTTATCTGGCATTACCAGTAATCCATCACAATCTCAGTCAAGAATAAAAGAACAAAAAAACTACCTGACATTCACTGAACATTCACTGCAGGTGCATGTGTTCTAAATGACAGTGAATAATTCAGCACCACTGAATATTTAGTGAAAGCTGCATTTGCTTCTTTATAAATATGCCCCTATGTTATATTGCTAAACCTTACATTGTACTCTCAGCACAATGACAGTTACTACTTATGGTAACCTTGGAGTAGATGTGTGAAACTGTCTAGATTTCTAACACAGAAAGTCCTTCTCAACAGACAGATCTGTATGAAGTTTGTAATGATATTTCTTACACATCTTCTTTCCGTCACTGCACCATTAACCACTTGAAGACCGGGGTGTTTCACCCCCTTCCTGGCCAGGACATTTTTCAGTATTGAGCGCTGCGGTACTTTGACTGATGTTTATTCCATCATGCAATGCTGTACTGATACGAATTTCATAAACAATTTTTGGGACAGATAGAGCTTTCTTTTGGTGGTATTTATTCACCACTGGGATTTTTATTTTTTACTATATAACAAAAAAAGTACCCTAAATTTTGAAAAAAAACATGTTTCCCCATAAAATGTTATGAAACATTTTATTTCACCCCAATTATTTGGTAAAATATAAAAGACGGGGTCACGTCGGGTAAATAGACACTAAACATGTCAACCTTTAAAATTGCGCGCCCGTGAAATCTCAGAAAACGACCGCAACCAAAATTGGCCATAGGCGACAATTTAAACGTTTTTAACGCTCATCAGTTTAGTGTTATCAGTGATTGATGGCCCTAGAATTATTGTTCTCACTCCGACGTTCGCGGCTATATGTAACATGTGCTGCATAATGGGCGCAATTGTCGTTTTCGTACTTAGGTGCACCAGACGCATGTTTGCATGTGTGTGTGGGGGGGTGGGGGACTTTAAAACATTTTTTGTGTTATTTTTTAAAATTATTATTTGTGAATATTTTTTTTAGCTTCTTTCTTTTTTTTAATGCTGTAATTTTTTTTTTAAACTTTTTTTAGACAACTTTATTGCTATAACATAGGGGACTAAGAAATCCCCTATGTAATAGCCAGTTCACCAAACAGGTCCTCTTTATGGAGACATCAGGGGTCTCCAAGACCTCTGATGTCACCTAGGGACCCCCACAGAAGCTGATGAAGCAGAGATCTGTGTATCATCAGTGTATCTGTCTGTCTTCTGCACCTTCTTCTCCTACTGAAGCAACATCCCACTTTGAAGGTGCCAGCCAACTCAGAATCCCTCCATGGGTAGAGAAGCCAAAGAGATCCTTTACCTACAAGGTACAATCAAGCTGATGCAACATATACAGTATAAGAGGCAGACCTAGTACTGTTCATTCATTCATCTGCTCTAATCTGTAATGTTACAGAGGTGAGCTCAATTTAGATTAAAGTGAGATTACATTGTACGTAATCATGCTGCTGTTTAGCATGTAGTCAATATGATCACCTCACACTGTGCTAGTGACTGATGACTTCTTACTTAGATGTGACAGAGTCACTTAAACACTTAAACAAACTGTAATGATATATTTAATGAATGGTGGGAGAATATTCTTTACCTGTTCAACTGCATGCTATTAAGGCTTAATTTAAGTGCACCTAATGGAATGCTGAAATTACAAATGTTTGGCCAGCTCCACAGCTGGCCGATCGCTTGTATGACACTAAAAAACATATGGTGCCCCCCTCCGCTACTGCGCTCCCCCTCAGCTGCCATGCTCTGGAGCCCTGGATAACCGGCAGCGGCGTTGGAGGGGGGCCCCAACGCCGCTGTCGGTTATCCAGGGCTCCGCTGTTCCCCCTGTGGGCCTGGGACAGGCACAGCAGCAGTGAGAACACAGGAGAGTCCTCCCACTGCTGATCTCTCCTCATCTCTCTCTCTAAAGGTGTAAGCGATGTGTATTACATCACTTCCACCTTTAGCTGTCATTTCTCTGGCTGCTATAACCAGAGAAGAAGCTGGTGAAGAAGATTTATGCTTCATCAGCTGCTTTCGGGGTCCCAAGTTGACATTAGAGGTCTTAGAGACCCCTGATGTCTCCATAAAGAGGACCTGTCATTGTATCTTGGCTATCATCCCCCTATATGATAGCAATCAAGTTAAGCGTTAAAAAAATAAAAGAAAAAAATAAAGTCACATATTAACAAGCATTTAAAAACGCCAAACAAAATTTAAGTCCCTCACCCCCGCGTGCATGGACATATAAACATAAATGCGTATTGAGTGTGCCTACGTGCGAAAACACATGTTACATATTGTCGCAAACATGAGAGTGTAAGCCATAATTTAGGGCCATTAATCACTGATAACACTAAACTGATGAGCATTAACATTTTTAAAGCGTCGCCTATGGACAATTTTAGGCATGGTAGTTTTGTGCGATTTTGCAGCCACACGCAATTTTAAAGCTTGACATGTTTGGTGTCTATTTACCCGACGTGAGCCCGTCTTTTATATTTTACCAAAGAATTGGATGATAATAATAAATGTTTCGTAACATAGAGAAAACAGGTTTAAATATCTCCCAAAGAAAGCTCTATCTGTCCCCAAAAAGTGGTATGCAATTAATTTTGGTACAG